GGCACTTTAGTTATTTTTATTAAGTTATTTTGAGAAAAAGAAAATGATGAAAAGAGAAAAATTGAAAGTTAAAAAATGGCCATTTTTGTTTAATTTTTTGTTTAAAATTATTTTTGTTTTGTTATTATTATTGTTACCTGGTTTGTGTAATTTTGTTATTATTATTATTTATATTTTATTTTATCATTTCTGTAATTATTATGGTAAAAAAAAAAAAAAGATATATTTTGTCGCGGCATGCACGCTGCAATTTTTTGCAGCGTGCAAAGGACATTCGTAAGAAACAATTGGAGGGTTGGATTTCACAGGGGTAACAAGCCCTCATCCTCATCGTTGAGATGAGGGTTTTAGGAGATTTGGAAGTGGATATAAAAGGTAAAAGAGCTACAGCCGCAAGGGGGGTTTTTCGGAGGGGGAGAGTCAAGAACGGTTAAAAGAAAAACTGAGAGCTGAGAGATTAGAGAGGGAAGGAAAACATCGAGGGTTTTGTGAAGGAGCAAGGACCAGAAAATTAGTTGATGGCTGAGAGTAGAATCGAAGGGACGGCTGCATAAGAAAACTAGAGAGAAACCGAAAGAAAGTTTGGAAGAGAGGATAGAGAGGATAGAAAACAGACGGCAAAAGGTTTGAGAAAGCAGGAGAGGTTGACCGCTGAGAAAAGCAAGAGAGTTGGCAGCCACAAAGTCTGGAAAAGAGGAAGGAAAAGAGGAATAGAGAGTTTGTGAGGGCGTGAAGATAGGGAAAGCAAGGGAGATCCTCGGTTGGAAATTGCAGAAGGAAGCAACTGGACCTCCATTCTGTATCAGTTGACATTCTTTGGAGCAAGGACGCCCTATTCATCTTCCCAGATCCTGATTTTCCCTTTGAGGGAGATAAAGGTAACGCCTTTCATTTGTTTCTCTGTCCATAGATTATAAAAAATCATGTTAGAAAGGTTGAAACTTTGCTGCAATGCTTGCTTCTGTTTGCCCTCTACCATGAATGTTGTGCTTGTGAATCTGTCGGCGGTGGGAAAAGAACTAAAACTATGGTTTTTATATTGTGAATTTTCCAAGTAAAAATCTGCAAGTGAGTTTAATTTGAAGTTGTTTTCAATCATGTGAATGTTTTTGTTCATTCTTCATGTCCCGGGTTTGGCATCAGGAAAGTCGCAGGTTTTTATTCTAATATTATGTATGTTTGGATGCTTGAGTTTGCTTTGTTTGAATCACTGAAAATGAAGTTGACATTTGGAGTAAGCAAAAGGACCTATCTGTTTTTCCTTTGTTTACAAACGTCGAAAAGACAGAAATCCAAGGAGTTAAAGTATGTTGCATATGTTATTATGTTTTGCTGTTTTCTTGCCGCAACCAAGACAACCAAGCAATTTTCGTCACCTGGTTTGCTTGGAAGAAGATTAGGTGTTAATTTAATGATGGGTTTTAGCAATAAAAAGCTTAGATAACATGATTTTTGTTGATTTGGAAATGAGTTGGGATTTTCCGGGTTCGATTCTTGCATATTTGAGTAGTTAGTGTTACGTTACCTCGCTGCACTTTGTGTTTAAGAGTGACTGATTGTGTCTCTCCTCTCCTTTGTTTTACATTCATTCATTCCAGTTTTTTGGACAAATAGGGGACTGCATTAAATCATTTCCTTGGTATGTTAAAAGTGTATAAGAAACTAAAAGCTGCTGCATTTTTCTTCACCATTTTCTTTCTCGAAACAGCTGCTGGGTTGAGTTTCTCTTTGTATGTTTAGATGCTAAGATCCAGCCGGTTTTTGGTTTTAGATCAAAGTTTTGATGTTGGCTAAGCTTGTTTCCATTTGAAGTTGTGTTTTGAGGCTAAGACCCGTGCTTGAAAAATGAAAGTCGGTGACTAGTCTAGTGCAGAATTTTCTTAGCAAGCTGCCGAGAGTTTTGCAGGAGCTGCCATAGTAATCTTGCATGTTTTAGTTACAGAATTTTTGCAGCAAGAGGTTTTGATCCTATGGTCACTCTCTGCTTTGTTTCATTATCATTTTTGCGATTAGTTTTTGTGCATGATGATTGGTGTTAAGGAAGCTAATAAATACGGAATTTGAAGTTTCGTGTAGGATGTTTGGGTGATCAATAAGAAACATTGGCAGAAGTATAGTAACCAGAAATTTGGAAATCTACTACGTTGCATGCATGGAACAATTCAGAAAAATTACACCTTAACCCCTCAGGTTTCACCTTATGTTACTATGACCCAACAAATAGAATAATTTCTTCAATTGGATCCCTGTGATTTTTGCAGTAATGCTACAAAAGCCCACCAATACTCTAAATTCTTGTAATTGGGTCATGAAATAGTTGCATTTTAACTCTTGCTTGACCTTCCTCGGCTCTTGGACTTTCAAAATTCCTAAAACGTCTCAATTGACTTTATTTGATTAGATTAGTGGTTGCATTTGGGACCTTGGTTCACGATGGAGTCCTAAGTTTATTACAGTTTGAACCGTTGTTTGACATTCTATCGTTTGGAAATCTTTGAGACTTTTGAGCGTTTTCACTTGGACTTGAATGACTTCGTGTGTTTGCAATTAGATCCTAAAACATTTGCACTTTTAACCCCCTAAGTTTCCCCCTTGTCTTGTTATGGTCCAATTAGTTGAATAATTTAATCACTTTTGTCACTCTAGAATCTTAATTGCTTTTGGTTTGCTTTGACGTGATTTTGGGTAAGACGTTTAGTGAATTTTAGGATGCATTTTGAGGATCAATAAGTTTTAATAGAATTTTTTAGCTTGGATTTGTGTTCTAATCACATTTTTGCATTTGATTTTTATGGGGCTCATCTTAAGTCATCAATCTTGGTATTTTATTTTACTCTCTTTTCAGAAATTTTCAGTCCTTCTAATTAAGTCCCTCTTGCATTAATTGCTTTGTACATGGTTGGTTTGTCTATGTAAATACTTTAGTTAACTCAATTTAGTGTTTAACCTTCATTTTTTATACTTAATTTTTGTTTCATGTGATTATTTGATAATTTAAGTGGTACCTTGACCTTTTTATTATTTTGGAGGGTAAGTTAGTAATTTCACTACGTTAGGGCGTCGCTTCAAGGGAGGTACACTCTATCCTTCATTTGCACTTCATTTGACCCTACGTGCTTCTACGTGTTATGTGAATATGCATGCCTACTCCGCTTTCCTTACCTCCTTGCATGCATTTACTTGCTTTTTACTTTTATTTAAGTTTTATGGGGTATGTGTACACCTCTTGGCTTGTAATAGATAGGGCTCGGAGAGCATCTGGTCCATTTCCCCTTTCCCTTTATGTTTTCACGGGGTATGTGTACACCTCTTGGCTTGTAATAGCTAGGGCTCGTAGAGCATCTGGTCCATTTCCCCTTCCCCTTGGTTGCTTGCTTTTGTTGTTACATGTTAAATTGCTTTAGTAGGCTCTTGCATCTAGTCGAGCATGCTACGTGCTACGTGTTTACAAGCGTTTTGGCATGTCAACTTGCTTTCATAACCATGAATGAATGGAATTGATGAATGTACGTCACCACACTAGTCCAACGCTAGTTGTGGCTCAGTATTTCATTAGGAATTCATAGAAAGGGCTAGTCCAACGCTAGACCCTTAGGGATTTCCCCTCATTAGCATATCATTTGCTTGTTCACCACATATCACGCATTTTCCTTAGTTTTATCATTTGGCATGATCCTCGAACCCGTTTTCCCTCCATTTTAGGATTTTTGAATTTCATGCTAGTTATAGGGTTCATTTTGCTTGAGTGTCCCCTTCTGATAAGGGAAACGAGCGAGTGTGGCTACTCGATAGCCTTAGCACGCTAGTTTCGCCTTCTAATCAAAGGGAAAATCGAAGTCGAAAAGTTAGGAGTCAACCCCCGTACCCGACTTGTTGCATTCCTCTAGGGTCATACTTTCATTTTTATCACCTACATACTATTTTAACCACATTTTTTCACATTTCTTAAACCATACTTTCTCACTACATTTTTCTCATCACGTGCTCAATTTCACCTCACAAATGGAATTCCACCTTACCTTATATATCTATTATTCTATTTTTACACACTTGCACACAAAAAACATTTGAATTTTATACAATTTCACACATGCACCTTTTTATACATTCGCACACTTGCACTTACATTTCTTGCATCTTTCATACACTTTCACACTTGCACACTTAAATTTGAACTCTCATTTGCATTAATCGACCTCTATGAGGTTTTCCTTTGTTGGCCGCCACAATTCATGTGGTTTGGGACCAAAAGCCTCACAAGAGACATCGTAGAATTTAGGATTGCATTTTCCTTTCCGTTTTGCATTCATATAGTCATATCCAACGTGCAATACATACATTGGGTAGAAAATTAGGAAAGGTAAGGTTAAGTCGCGCAACTAGCCTTGGCTAGGTCAAAGGGGTGCCTTGGATTCTATCCTTGCCTTCTCCTTTGTCAAACGTGACTCCCGAACCTTTTTCTTTGTCTTACGTGGACTAGGAGTCGTTTTTAAAAGGGTTTTACTACTTTGTCTTTAAAAATTTATTTTTTAGGTGACTTGGTACACCTTAATCATTACCAAGTGGCGACTCCAATTTCTCATTCAAAAACCCTTTTAAAAAACTATTTTTTGGGTCAAATCGTCGCTTTTTCCCAAGTCCCATTGAGACCCATGTCTTTTCAACTCACAAAAATCATTCTCCAATCACAATTGAATCAAAAACATCTTTCTCAAACCATTTATTTATTTATCAAAAAATGGGGCGCGACAATTTGAATATCTTATCGGGCATTTTACCTAAAAATCTAATATTTATTAGAAATTTCAAAATTAGTTCAAATTTTTTAATTCTTCCTGAAGTATAGATTTCGCTTTTTGAATTAGTGACTTCAAAGTCACATTTTGAGATGATGATGCGACTTTAAGTGACTTTATAACAAGCAAATTAAAGACAAATGATGACTAAAAATAAACTAACTAAAGTCTCCTTTTTTTTTGATAGAAAACTAGAGAAATTCATTAAGGTGAGGATAAGTCTGCCAAAATTGCGGAAGAAAGAAAAGGTGGTGGAGAAGAACTCCAACTACAAATATTTGAAATAGACCTGGCATTCCTAACTAATAAGTGGACAGGCACATTTGCCTGCCTGGGGACCCAATTAGCCTCCCATGCGGCGAAACTCTGTAAACTAAGAAGGATATAGTCTAACAGCACCCTGTAGGTTGAGTCATCAGATTCCATAAGCTTAATCATGTTAATGATCTTCAGAGAGTCGCCCTCCAAAATAATCTTGGGCTCCTTCCACTGAAGCAGTAAGGAAATTGCAGTCTTTGCAGCATAAGCTTCGATGACCTCAGGGGAGAAGATACCGAAGATTTTGTGAGAGGAACTTGCAACAAAATTGCCCCACTCATCCCGCACAACAACTCCAACACCGGAGCAACCATATTTGGAGAAAACTGCACCATCGAAGTTGGCCTTAAAGTCTCCTTAAATGGCGACTTAAAGCCACAATTCGAAATTGTGACTATGAAATCACACTTTCAAATGACAAAATCTTTACTTTTGGAAGAATTAAAACTCCTATATGCGAAGGACAAGGCGAGTGCCTGTTGCCCCGCCTCCCGCCCTGTTTTAACCCATTTCTATCCCTGCAGGGCGGGGGCACCCTTAGAAACATCAAATAACAACCAGCAGAAAAAATTTTATTGGTGTCGTCCCAATTAATTAGTTGATTTCTTTAACACCTTAGCCGTCAGACCATGCTTCATACGAAGAATAATAGAGGTTGCAGGGGTTGCCACTGGTTGATCCTTTGCTATCTTGGTACCTACATGAAATTGGTAGTTGAACAAACTTGTAGCAGCAATAGCTTTCAGTCTAGCAAAAGCCAACTCTTTCCCCGGGCAAATCCTGGGACCTGAGCTGAATGCTACGAACCTGTTGGATGTCAAAGGCTTTAAACACCATGTCTTCGAAATCCATCTCTCTGGCTAGAATTCAAGACAATCTTCTCCCCATATCCACCTCATTCTTGCCATAGCATTAGTACAAATAACAACTCTTTTGTTCGCTTTCACATGGTGACCGCTTGGAAGCAAGTCAGCTTTGATGCAAGTTCTCGACTGAAAAGGACTTGATGGAAAGAGCCTTAATGTTTCACACATGGCTGCATGGAGATAAACAAGTTTTTTTAACTCTTTTAGGTCGAAAAATATACGCGTACGTGATTCAGTTGCCCTTAAGTTTACCGCAAGTTCTTCTCTAATCTTGGATTCAACAATGGGGTTCTTCGAAAGAAGCCAAAAAACCCAAGATAAAACTGGTGAAGCTGTATCCGTTCCTGCAAATATAATTCCTTTTACAATTTCTCTCATAGTGTAGTCTTGCTCCCCAACTGATTCCAGGAACTCCTCCTCATTGTAAAAAAATGTGATTGCATCTAAACTTTCCTCACCATGCTCGGATTTGGAAATATTGCTGGTTTGCTCTTTCCAAATTTTGATGCATTTTGCTGCTGCATCATCCAGGACTTCGCAAGCTTTACTGAGTCTCTTCTCTGCACCAACTCCCAGCCACCTTTGGAACATCCAAAATCTTTCTGGGAGAATATGGCGAAGCAGTATCACATCACTAGCATCATGCAAGGCTTCCAAAACAACATCTTTTGGCAGTCCAACGCAGAGGGAGCCGCGATTTTTGCCACTGATCATCATGAATGTTGCATCAAGCATAGCCCTTTGGAACACATCTTGCAAATCTACCGTAACCCTGTGTTCAGAAGCATGATCCAAAACTGGAACAAGCCCTTTTTCAAGAACTTCCTGGTTTATCCTAACCGTGAAATGTTGCAACTTTTGGTTGTGGAAAAAAGCGAGAGCGAATTTCCTATGAAACCTCCAATCCTTTATGTCCGCGGCAAATAGGATCTGCCCGTAGGCCGAGAAAATCCTTCTGGTGTCGGGACCCTTGGGATAATTGGATAAGTTTGTGCTCAGTAAATGCTGCACGTTCGCAAGATCAGCGGTGAGAATCATATCCCTGTTGCCAAACCAAGCACTTGGGATCCTCGGTGACATGTTTTCTATGTCAATCCAATGCCACCAATAATATTGTGCCAAGTGTCATGTTATTATTTACATTTTAATTTTTTAATAATTTAATTTGGCTTGATTTAACACAAGGGTAAATAATAACATGACACTTGGCACAATACTATTGGTGACATTGAATTGGCATAGAAAACATGTCACCGACGATCTCAAGTGCAAACCAAGGTCCTTTAAACTCAAAGGTGCCGCCACAGAATTCTATAACTTCAGTGACGTTGTCGAATATAAAACTGGTTGGCAGCAGCATGGACAACGTCCCAATGAGGGGCCAATTACGGGGTTGCCCATTCCTCGCGCAGAAACAAAGAAAGAGTAGAAAGGCAACCGCTGCTATGATTACTAGAGCTATAGAATTTGAAAATGCAAATATGTAGGCATTTGTTGCCATTTAGTTTCAGGCTAGGATTGATTTTGGGCTAGCAGTATTTGCCGTACGCTAAGAAGGTTTAATAGTGGTCCAGTGTCTGCGTTGCAAACTCATTTTTCGAACTTATGAAATATCATCCTATGAGTTATAGCAAGCAGCCAAGCACAACAGCACAAGATTTGTCGATCTCAAGCAATCTGCACGTATATTTGTATAAACAGGTTCGTGAACGTTCCCGATCTAAGCTGATATATCTTCAGTCCATGGTTCGAAGACTCGGCCGAGACCGAGACGTCTCGGCCGAGTCGTAACCGTCTCGGCCTAGGTCGAGACGATACCGCGATGAATCGAGACCGAGATACTCGTCTCGCCGAGAAATCGGCCGAAACGTCACCGCGACGGGTTGTTACGGTCGAGTCACCCCGAGTCATCCCGAGTCAAGGTGAATTTAACAAAAAAATATATAGAAAAAAAGCAAAAAAAAGAATTAAAAAATGTTACAATTCGAGGACCTCTCTAGTGCCTATATCGAACCATGGCTAGTACTGATGATCCTTCATACGGGGAAAGAAATGCGAGTGATGGACAAGTTGTAAAAGATTTCGTGGGGCCTTCTTTAGATTAATTATAGTGGTTCCCTATTCTATTTCCAGACATAATTGGAACAAGCTCACCGGACATAATTGGGAGAAGCACTGGGACCGCAGCTCAATTACATTGACCCTTGGAGTAAAAACTACAGCTAGATCCTAACACATGAGAAGGAGAAGTCGAAGGTTGAAATCATTCATTGAAAAATAGAAACAAATTTGTCACAGTACTATCACGTGAAAAGATGCGTTTTCTTTTCCACCTTGGAGGTGTACTACCTTCACTTTACTTTGAAGGTACTACCTTCACTTTACTTTAAAGGTACTACCTTCATTTTACTTTGAAGATACTACCTTGAATGGTCCACGTTAAACATACTACCTTCACTTTACTAAATTATTGGACTAGTAGTGTTGCAGAACGTAGTAATCCTTTCCGTTTCCTTCAATTCTTCTTCATGGTAACTTAACTCTGTCTTCTTGCCGAGCTTTGGAATTCCAGAGTCTTCATGAGAGTGGGGGCATAAGTACTGATGGTTTTGCAATGTGTAGACTAAATAGCAGTAAAGAGATGAATAAAGCGAGGGAGGAGAAATGGGAGGTGAGTCCCAAGGTTTTGGGTGAAAGGGAAGCAGAAAGAAATGGAATGGATTTGTTTACAGCTAGAATGAGGTGGTGGATTCTCATCTGAGGGCAATCACGACATTATTGCTTTGCTCATGTGTTGTTCAGTTGATGCCAGTAGGGAATTCTTGGGGGCCTAGGTTGTTGAATAGCTGGCCGTCCTGCTCTTCCCTCCTGCTGATAGGTATCCTCAGGTGGAAATTAGCAATCTGCATTCACAAGTGACTCCAAAGCGTGAGTAAATCGCGTCTTTTTACCGGCTTTTTAATAGTTAGCAATCTTGGAGGTTGGATTTGTACTTTGCTTACTAATCCATTGCGATGCTTACTAAATTATTCTTTTTTCCAAGAATAATTTTTCCTCTATAAATTTAGTAATCCTTATGTATAAATCAAAAACTTTTGTAATTCTTGGACGACTAGGTTGCAAAGTGAGTGAAAAATCATATCTAGTTATATATATATATATATATATATGACGATGGTTAACAAAGAAATTGGAGAGATATGAGAATTGCTTCCATTGTACGTGTATATTTTTGTGCTAATAGAGAGGGACATTTAGTATTATCTTCCAACTTATTATAATACATAATCATCCTGGTGATCATGATCATGAACTAAAAACTATAGGAAGATGGAGAGCTAAATTATATGTTTAAGTTAATCACCCATCAACAAACAAAATGCCGAAGTTCTTATAATAAATGAAAAAATGATCATTGTTGCAGGTTTACATTATAGATTAGATGTTTAACTTACTAATATAATAGAAATAAATTATTATAATTATAAAATGTTAGAAACTGCTTGTTGTATTTTTTTTCATATATCTTTAATTATTTTGTGATGTATTAACCATTTATAGTGATATGTGTAATAGTTACAATGACGAGCAAGGATATTGGTTGGAAACATGGTAAACCCGTGGGAGGGAATAGAAAAATTGTGAGATGCAATTATTGTGGAAAAATAATGCACGGTGGCATTACAAGGTTAAAAGAACATGTCGGTCATGTCATAGGACAAGTTAAGCCTTGTCCAAGGGCCTCAAGTGAAGTTAGAGATTTAATGAAAATGCATCTAAAGATTGGTAAGATTCAAAGAGCTACAATAAAACAGAAAAAAGAAGAAATATTGAATTCTTTCCAACAAGAAAGTATGCATGGTAATTTCAACATGGTTGGCGACGAGGAGGACGAAGTCTTTTTTGAAATTGATGAAGAAAGTCGGATGGCGTTGGAAAAAAAACAAATGAAGCAAGCAATTAGAGAGAGCCAATACTTGCAATTTTTAGACGAACAACGAAGGCATTCGGTATCTGGGAGTCGACCTTCTATGTTTATGTCAGGTATGATTTGTAAACTAAAATATTATAACAAATTTGATACTATTTTATTAAATATAATTACATAAAGTTGCGATGTCCAGTCATTCATTTTTTTTTGTTAAATATTGTGAATTTTAGGGAATATGGGTGTTGGCACTTCAAACCCAACGACTTCTGAAAATAAAAGAGGATTGTCACGTAATTTCAGTGTCAGACAAGCAGATGAAATGACAAGCAGAGGAATTGACTCACATATGTTTCCTTCGAAACAAAAATCACTCAAATCAATGTTTGCGAAGGAAAATATAAAAAGAGTTAGTAAGGCAGTTTCAAAGTTTTTTCATTTCAATGCTATACCATTTCATGCAGCTGACAATCCTTATTATCAATCGATGATTGATGAAATTGCCAAAGCTGGTTCTGGTATTAAAGGCCCTTCAGCTTATCAAATTGGAAATGAATATTTAGATGAAGAATTTGAAGAGCTTGAGAAATATCTTGGAGATATTTATGATAAATTTTCAACTTTTGGTTGTACACTTATGTGTGATGGGTGGAGCACTCGTACAAAACATCCAATAATAAATTTTATGATATACTGTGATAGGCACATGATATACCATAGTTCAGTTGATTGTACCAATATTAAGAAAACTGCTGAATATATTTTCAAGTTAATGGATGAGGTAGTAGAGGTTGTGGGGGAAAAAAATGTTGTGCAAGTTGTGACAGATAGTGAATCTAGTATGAAAGCAGCTGGACAATTGTTGATGAAAAAAAGAAAAAATCTTTTCTGGTCACCTTGCGCTGCGCATTGTATAGATTTGATGTTGGAGGATATTGGCAAAATGGATAATGTAAAAGAAACTATTGCTCAGGGGAAGAAGATAACAAGTTTCATATATAACAGTGACAAAGTAGTGAATCTGATGAAGACATATACAAAAAAAAGGGAACTGCTACGTCTAGGTATCACTAGATTTGCAACTGAATTCATTTCTATGGAAAGTCTTCTTCGGCATTGTACAGAACTGAAAAGAATGTGCACCTCAGATGAATGGGCAGAGTTTAATAACACTACCAAGAGATTGATCAAAATATTCCAACTTTATGCTATAAATAAATCTTTAGTTTGTATTGTTAATGGTTGATATTACTTTTGCAATTATTAGTTTTAAAATTGTGGTCTATGTTATTTTGATTTTATTTGTGATGCCATTGTTTTAAATAATTAAAAGTACTTATCGTGTGTAATATGTATAAAAATAGTACATTTTACAAATTTTCTTTTGTTATTTTTTATTATTTTTGTTTAGCATACTTTTTTTTTATATTATTAACAGTTTTTAGAATATTAAATGTTTTAAAATTTGTGTCTCACTGAGACCGTGACCGATATGTCGAGACCGATGTGGAACGTTCTAGGCCGCGACCGCGACTTTGAACCATGATCTTCACAGCCTGTAGTAAGATTACAGGGGAACGGAAAAGAATTGATAAATGCCTGGGATTGTGATTTCTCAGCCAGGTTTTGTGACCAGTTGTCCGAAAATATCAAGATTATAGACTCGGTAGCTTTAAGTTGTGAACGTCTATAAAATGAATCATTGGTAGTGTTCTAATAAAAAGAAAAAGGAAAAAAAAAATCTTTCAATTGAATCCTAACTTTATTTCTAAACTTTAAATGTACCACCTCCCAAAATGAACAAGATTTCTTAAAACCTCAAGCATTCATATTATAGCTGCGATTCAAAATCAAGCGTCCGAGATGCAATGGTTCAAAGACTCGGTCGAGACTGAGACGACTCGGCCGAGTTGTTACCGGAATGGGGCTTCCCGATCCGATATAGGGACGAAATGACTCCGATGTAATGATCGTTGAGAACTCGGCCGAGACATATCCGAAATGGATAGAAACGATCGAGTCGTCCTGAGTCATCCCGAATCAATTCGAATTTTTATTATTTTTGCTAATTTTTTAATTATTTTTATTTATCATATTTTTTATAATTTTTAAAATATTAAATATTTCAAAAATTTATGTCTTGTCGAAATCA